CTAAATCGGAATATCTCTGTCGAATGTGGCGGCCCGCCACAAGGCACACATATACGCACATACACACAGTTCGAACGAAGTGGATGGAAACCAATGCCATGGATTGAAATTCGAGTGAGACACAGAGAGATAAGGCAAAAAAGAGAGTGAGATAGAGCGTGCACAGAAGGATTCATTACGAACCGACCTAAAACCGCACAAGGAAATCTTATGCCATACTAGAAAATAGGTATTCGTGATGTGGCTTTCGTGGCACCAAAACTCAACATCCCTTGCATTCGCATTTCGGCTCAACGCAAAAAATATTGATGCCAAAAAAAATTTCGGTCTCACCAAATAAAAAGCGACAACAACAACAGCTTATAGTTTCTGAGAAAGTTCAGGAAGAAGAGAAAAAAAGAATCAACTGCTTTGCAACAATGATTTCGATCGCAATTTTCCTTGTGTTGTCCATTCATTTTGCCGCTACAAATCATAGCTCAAATTCATAAAGTCATTTTTATCGACAAACTATTTCGTTGGTAATAAAGTCAATGAAAAAATAGAAAAAGAAGAAGAAGAAAAACCCCGATCGAATAGATGGTTATGTCGATATAAACGATTTATTTATCTATTTTTCATTGAATGGTTAAAGTTCTAAAAGAAAATTTCAAACGAAAACAAAAATTGTTTTTCTAAAAATATTCCCTCAATTCGAAAAACATCAATGGAATACATACACACACGCATACACTTGAATTAAGTGTCGAGTGTCGGTTGTCAAAAAGTTAATTTTTTCTTCTCTCATGCGAACGAAAGTCGATTCGAGTTCGTCCCCCTCAATTTCATATACGAAATACCTGAGTTTCATTTCATTTACAAGTCAATCAATTGTCTGCCGTTCACACCACTCTTGCCACCTACCATCCGCCAAACGATTCAATCAAGCGTTTAAATTTATTGGAAAATGTTAAATGTGACAATGGAACAAATGACAAACGAAATGATACCCATTTTCGTAAAACATTCTCATTTTCTGTTTTTTTTTCCTCTCTTTCCGTCTCTTTCTCACTTTTTCTTCATTGCAATTTTTCTTCCCTCGTTGCTTCCGCTCTCGATGAATAGCACGGTCGTAGCCAGCTTTTTTGGCTCTATAGGGTGTTTCTATGCTAAAAAATAATAACTTGTCCATAGAAAAGACAGATTTTGAAATAAAAAGTGGGTGAGCTTTTGGAACTTTTTGAAATTATGAGTCAAAACCTCGAAAAATCGCAAAAAATCGAAATTTTAAAAAGTGGTCCGATTTGGATGAAAATTGGTACACAGCACAATTGGGGAAATAGAAGAATTTTTGCATTCAAGCCACTTTTTAAAATTTCGATTTTTCGAGGTTTTTGACCTATAACTTCAAAAATTTCCAAAAGCTCACCTACTTTTTATTTCAAAATCTGTCTTTTTTATGGACATGTTATCATTTTGTAGCATAGAAACACCCTATAGAGCCAAAAAAAGCTGGCTACGGCCGTGATGAATAATCATCGATGTCTTTTGATTCGTTTGTTACGATCGGCTTTTTCATCATTAGATATTTTATTCATTGCCAAACACACTATCGATTGTGTGTGATGGGAGAATCCAACGCAAGGATGTTCCAAGTGGCGTGTGTTCCGGAAAACATGTGCTTTTGTAAATAAACGATGACTAACGAATCAAATAGCCGTACAAACGACCACAACAATACGGAATAGATGTCATGAGATGGGCTAAAGTGTGCAGTACATTCAGAGCGTGTTCATCGATTTCGAGTAAATATTCGATTTTCGTTGCGATTTCAATACAAATTCAAATGTGGTTGCGTGTCTATTTCGTCTAAACGAGAACTTAGATTGAAGAGTTTATTTATTCGTCATCTCATCCTTTTGCAGAATATGCCGAAGGAAGTCTAGCGACGAGAGGTGGGATGAATGAAATGCTGCCGATCGCTTTGCATATTTTGTCAGGTTTGAAGTGGGAAGAAAACGCACGAAGTGCTTCCCTCTCTCTCTCTCTCTCTCTCTATCCACTCGTTGCCTCTCTCATCTTTGACAAATAAATACCGAACATCAAAACAAACACACGCCGGCGAAAACGAACTAAGACTTGGCATCCGATTCCAGTTAAGCGGATTAAATGTATGGTGAACGATTCATTTGAAAGTCAGAAAAATAAGCTGAATTTGTGAAAAATGGATAATACTTTGAATAAAGATTTGCTTTTGCTAGCTGATTTGATTTCTTGGCATGAGCGTGAGCGCGTGCACGTGCACGCTCGCCTCTCTTATCTCTCAACGATTTTATTTATTTTCAAAAGCTTATATCCCATTGAATAGTTCAATGGGGGCGACTGAGATGTGCTTGTGAAAGTAACCGTAACCATGTACATTTCGAGAATGGCTTGAATGTGAGTAGTTCGGTTTGTGTGTGTGTGTGTGCATTCAATGTACATTTAACGGAATTATGTAAGATTAAAGGCCACAAGGCGCTTGAGAGTCGAATCGAAACACCAGCCATTGAATTGAATGGCATCGCTGTAGAGCGACAAGGCAAGAACAGCCACCATTTACATACGTCATTTACACCGATTTTAATGCCACAATTTCAACTCGTCCTCTCTCTCTTGTTCTCGCTTGACGGAGTTTCTTCTTCTTCTTTTATCTAATGAGATATGCGGCAAACTTCTTAAAGGCACGAAACCATTCAGCAAATTGGCCAAACAATTTATATATATAAGGTCTCTCTCGCGTTGCTCCGAATTTACTTCAAATCCATTTCATTGTTGTCATTTTTCATGCCGTCAAGTGGAAAGCTCAAGCATGTGCTGTCACACAGTCTCATACCGATTTTAAATAACTGTTCGTCCACCTTGACATTTTCCGATTGAAATGAATCGCATTCGATGTGCATTTGCTGGTTCAATTGAATTCATATTGCCATACGGAACACACAATCACCGACCGAATTTTTTTTTTTAAAGTGCTGTCGAAACGAAAGCGAAAAATAAGAAACATTTGCATTTTATTTTTGGCGAAGAAAGAAATGCAGCCTTCACTCAAGATAAACTTGATATTCAAACTTTGTTTTTTACATTTTTATTTCGTTTTTTTCTCTCTGCTGCGTTCCTTTCCATATGCAATTATCATTGTACTGTGTTCACTTTCCGAATTGTGTGTCTTCTTTATTTCGCCGCCAAGATGTTTTAAAACAAGTGGCAGAAAATGGCTGCGACCAACGTGCATCTTTCGATTGGAATGGAGGAAAAGAGACATTTAATGGAAGCAGCACATTCCTTTGTACGAAGGCAAAAGAGAGCATCGAGAGGGGAGAAACAGCCGAAGATAGAAATGGAAGCCATCTTTTAGAAAATGGTTTCGCTGCAAAACTTGAGCCATTCACCAAACCAAAAGACAAGAAAACTTGTGCGACAAATAAATGAATCACATGAATTGAGTTTGACCTTTTCGGCAACGACCAAGTTGAACAATCAACGAAACGAAACGACAGATCGAGACGGATTTGTTGCGGCAGCAGTGATTCAGTAGCAAACATTCGAATAATGAATAACAAGTGTTCTGTGGATATTTCTGTGTGGGGAACGGGTGTAGTTGAAATTAAAAGAAATAATAAATTCAAGTTGAGCATCTTCAAAAGTTCGTTGTGTCATCGCTCTCGGCCGCAGCTCTCTATCACTTCGTTCGTCTCTTTATCTCGTTTCGTTTTCATCTCGGTCACGCGCCCTCCTCCACTTCGGTCGAATGAATGCGAAGGCACAGAACAGCGAATGGAACGTAAGACGCGAAGGGAGCAATTAAAATGAAAAGAGAGTTAGGGAACAAATGAAATGCAAAAACAAGCAAGCAAATGGGGAGTGAATGCAACATACAGCCGAAAGGATGATAATGATGTTAAAAAGCATACACAATTGATAGCTCGGCGGCCGTACATTTTCAAACGCATGGATTATTATTTTAACAAAAACCCATTCAATTTAACATTCATTCGTTATTTGCTGCATTCCAAGAATGGTTTTCTTAGTGAACCAAGGTCGGGACACATTCTTTACATGTTTTGATTACCAATTCCGAGAGAGGTAACCGTGTGCAAGTTCTTCATTCTTTGTTTTAAACTTGTCTAAACCGCACATCGTTGGTGCTACTGAGCTGCAGGTAAACGTATGAGCTCACTGTTCTATATAAGTTGATGATGAGCTCTTTCTGAAAATCGTTCAGTTTTGCCAATGAATTTGGACAATTTGATGACACTCTCTGTCAATGGGTTCCAATTTCAATGGTTCTTACATAAAAAAACTTTTTGTCAAATTCGTAATTTTGTCGTTGGACGAAAAACTTTTGGCGATGATTTGAATGAATAAGATTGTCATCTTTTCATTCGTTTCAATCCAAAATCTTTTGAATGAGTCCCCTTGAAAACCCTTACATTTACCTTACCGTTGCATTTGAATCAAATGATTTAAGATTAAACAACAACAAAAAAACGACTGGTTTTCTTCTTACCACGATAGAGTCCTACAATTTACATTCATCTCCTTGCATTCCAACAAGAAATGCCAATGCTCCTTTACCCATTGCATGTTCGCCTTTGTTCGACATAATTTGACTTAATTCATTTTTAATAGTCTTGAATGATGTACTCATAATTATTTTTCAGGTTTGTTTTTTTTTCATCTTCTTCTTTCATCTCCGATAAAGAACAGGGAACTCAATGAGACGCAATGCTATTTAATAGCAGCAATTGGAGAAGAAAAAAACTTCATTTAAACATGGAATTCGAATTCATTCTCAGAAATGAAGTTCTTTTCCCACTTTTTTTTTCATTTATTCCGCTAAAGAGTTTTTTCTCCCTATGCGATTGAGTCTTTTTCCAAAGAAAGGAAATTATTATTATTCTCAACCGAAAAAAAATGCATCTCTTGTTTAAAAACGGATTTTTTTGTACAGAAAAGAAAAGAAAGTATGTTGTACTCACCGGCGCCCAATGGAACATTCGATGAGACGGATTTGTGTTTGAGCTTGGCATCGATTTTTTCATCGTCTTTGTTGCCAGCGCCACCGCTAATCACAATTTGATTGCCAACGGACGTAGTTTTGACGACATTTGGACTGGCCGTGGTGAGTGTACAGGTGGTGGTGCCAGTGCCACTGTTCGGATTATTTCGAAACAGTAGAATTGACGGTGATTTATCGATGCGTTTGAGTGTTTGAAGTAAAATCGGGCCATCGTTTGTGCCATTTTTATTGAGTCGCTGCTGTAAAATGATTGAACCTTCCGGAATGCCAGCGGCGGTGGCACTGTTATTGACCGTTGATGTGAGCTGTGTCGTCGTTGTGGTGCTGGTTGTCTTTAATGCTTGCGTGGTGGTGTGCAACAGTGTTGCATTGCCTTTGATTCCATTTCCGCTTAATGTGCTCGCATCAATGATTTGATTGCTGGCTAGATTGGCATTTTTCAAAGCTGATTGCAGCACAAATTTACTCGCATCGTTGTTCGATGTGTGTTTCGATGTTGCCGAAGTTGCCACGATCGGTGCTGCTGTAGTCACCACCGAATTGGCGAATGTGGTTTTTCTATGCAAAAGAATCGATGGTGATGTCGATGTATTGCATGCGGTTATATTATTATCATCATCGGCGGCGACAGCGGCAGCAGCCGAACTGCTAATGCTAACCGCTCCACTGTTCAATAAACTCAACAATTCGTGGCCATTCTGCAGTATTATTTGACCATTCTCCGTACGAGCACCACGAATCAGTATTATATTACTCGGATGATGCTGTTGCTGCTGTTGATGATGCTGTTGTTGTTGTTGTTGTTGTTGTTGTTGTTTTGGAAATAATCAGAATATTTTAGAGCAAATAATTTCCAAATGAAAATGCACTCGATTTTAAAAGGCAATTTTAGGCATTTTCAGCATACTTATAATTTTCTTTTATTAACCTACTAACGAAACATATTTTGCATTCAACTGACCTGTTGTGCTTCGATATTTGCCGTCGAAACTGTTGCAATAGATAAATGAGTCGGTTGAGCTATTGACACTTGACTACTGATATCACATGCATCGCCCGAACTATCACCAATCGATTTATTCGTATCGATTATCGACTCGATATTATTCTCTTCCGAGGGCCCTGCGAATTAGAACAATGCATTTTTTTTTTTTGGGTTAATAACACGCCATTGAATGACTACACAGCAATTTTAGACAACATTTTATACAAAGGTAATCAACCCATTTAAACGTAACCACAGAGCTGTTATAGGCACTGCAAAAGTGCGGGCACTTGAATCGGTGCGGCACCGAGCTCTTTTTGAAAGTATAATTCTTAAGTATTTTTGAAATTTTTTAAATTTGCTATTGTTTTAAAGAAATAATATGATTTTATATTGCTGAAATTATCGAATTTGTCAAATTTTTTGTAATTGTACTAGGTGCGGCACTCAAAATCTAAGTGCCGGCACCGATTGGATGCCTATAACAGCTCTGGGTAATCAACTTTTTGTAGAATAAAAAAAAATGATGGTCGGAAATGAAACCATTTCGTTTCTGTTGAAAAATTCTTTTGAAACAACCATTTTTCATGTAACCAAAGGCATTGGTTTAGCTCTACTCTCTCTTAACTCTCGCTCTATTCATTTCGTTACCAAACCGGTTCTGGGAAACGACAATAAAGTCAAACGATTAGAATATTTAATACAGTGTCATCGATATTATCTCTCTAAATTCGGGTCAATTGACCGGGTGAATTTGACCCAAAACACAACTGTTGACCACATAAATCAATTGTGCGAATTGTTGGGTTTTTCTGTTAATTGTTCATAAAACTAGTGAACATTGGTGATAATTAAGCGACCTTCATTCGGACATTGTAAGCAATTGCCATTGTAAGCAATTGTTTGTGTCACCGCGTTCAAATGTTGTTCGGGTGAAACGGTTCTATTGTTGCCTCTACGGTTCTACTGATGTGTGTGTGGGCGAACATTGCCCAATGACAATGCAGTTTTCGAACAATAATTGCACATCTTTATGCCATAACTTTTCAACTGTATAATTTCGCCGGAATTTTCGACATAGCATTCAAAACCTACACCAAAAAAAATCATTCGGAGTCGTCAAAAAGTTTTTTTTTTATCGTCACTCAAAAGTTTTGAGTTAAAACTCACTCAATTCAAAATCCACAAAACTGAAAACGCTTCGCTTTAATAAACACAAAACTCGAGCAAGTTTATCATTTAATAGGTCGAAACAAAAGGGACGGGATGGACAGTTAAATTGATGGTTTATGGTCGATTTTGGCATATTTCTCTCCCTATTCCCTCTCTATCAATCTGTTTTGGTTTCTCGTATTCCCAAACCAAATGCCGTTGCTATTGTGATGCATTGTTGTCATCGGTGGCAATAAACGGCCAAATTCAATTGATTCACATCCATATTCATCGTATTCATGCTGTTGCGCTTCTCAACCCGTTGCGCTCGTCAAGATTTAACATAGATTTTCCATGCGAGATGAAATCATGCATGAAAAGTTTATTTTGATGCTATCTCATAAAAGATTCATTTTACGACTGCATCATATCAAGGAGATCGATCATACAATGGAAAATAAAAATGAATGAACACTGTCGAAACAATGAAATGGACGATGAAAAAATCTTCAAAAATGTACACTCTGACGATTACGAAAAAGAGTCATAAATTTTCCGTCCGACAAAAACACTGAAATCATTCAAGGTTTGTGTGGCGATTTGGTCATCTGAAGCCCTCGTATTCCACATGCCATTCCAATTCAATGAATTTCGTTTCTCTTTGGACATTTTCAAACGGTATTTTCAAAATCCGATTTTTTTTTTCTCTCACACACTTTTGGAGCTTCTTTCAACTAGCTTTGTTTTTTTTCGATTTCGATGCTACGTTGATGTTTTCCTTTTCATCTTAAGCTAAGTACACAGTTCCTCGTGAAATGAAAAAATTTCTCCGGTGAAATTTTTACAGGTGATATTTGTATGGTGTTTTTTATTTTCGAGTTGCAAGCACAATGATTTTTGATGTATGAAACAGTTAACTCCCTCCAATATCAACACAATACATGAACAAATTTGAATTTTGAATTCATTTCTTAATGTATTTTGATCTTTCTTATTTTGTCACCGCCGTGAAAAAAATTTCGCGTACATTTTGCACGCGAAATACTTTTCACGACCGTGAAAAAAAATTTGTTTAGACAAAACACATAGAAGAATGAACTCAAAAACCAAATTTGTTCATGTGCCGTGTTGATATTGAAATGAGTTAGCTGTTTCATACATCAAAAATCATTATGCTTGCAATTCGAAAATAAAAAACACCATAAAAATATCATCTGTGAAAATTTCACCGGAGAAATTTTTTCATTTCACAAGGAACTGTATACTTAGCTTTAGATGTGAATGGAAATGAAAAATAGAAAAAAAACGAAATGAAAAGAAACGATTCATTTAAGTCAAAATTTCATTCACATTTTTGTTTTTGAATAAAGAAATTCTTTCAAATTCATCCGAATGATTTAACAAATTGCACATTCCATGTTCTTGAATTCGTCATGAGAAAAATTCGAATCGATTTTGTTTCTTTTCGGTTGTATAAAAATGATTGTTGATGATAATCGTAACCATGAATCCACTTGGTTTCTTGTGGTCGAGAGCTTAATTCAGTTCTGCCAGCAGTTGAGCTCGATTTAGTGCTCTCGCAGTGAGGCGAAATTTTAAAGTCATTTTCCAGCAGCTAGCGCTTGATGTATACATATGTGTGTATAAAGTTGTGGTATTTTTTCTGCTCTTGTTTTTACTTCAAGGTCACACTCATTAGAAGCACATTATGAAAATAAAATACAGAAGCCCACGGCCGAGGTTTTGTCAACGTGTACATTTTTGGCACTGTGGTTAATTTCGTAAGCAGTTTCCTTGTAATTCCTTTTGTTTTTTTTCTTCTCATTTTCATTCTGTTTATCCCATCTCATGTATATACGAAGTCGATGCCATGGACCAAAAATAGTTTTCATGGAAGCAATTTTTCGGTTGTTGTTTGTGTATATGTGAGAGAGAGAGAGAGAAACATGTGCATTCTGGACTCTCAAGTCGTCGGTCGGTAGCGAGTGAGTGTCATTTGAACATTGGTAAATAAATTCGTGTTGGTACTTGGACATCGATTGTTCTACACTTGTCGTACATGTGCAATTTGCATATTTCACACGACGACGACGACGACGACGATGGGCGGGTGAGCTGACGGAGGACAATGACGAAAAAGCGTAACAAATTTGGTTTGAATTTCAAATGGAAATTGAATCAGTTCACCTATCTTGGCTGCTTCACGACAATGTCTCCGGATAAAATAAAGAAATTGGGAATGAGTACGACAACGACGACGGCGACGAACATATCATCGCCAACACAGTAGCGAGTGGCTAAACCTCATTCAAATACAGACACACACACACACACACAGCCACATGACAATGCCAACAGAAGAGATGAGCTTGTTTTTGTCACGGTCTCGTTGCTCTTAAGAGCAATTGCCGTTGATATGGCTGCTTTTGCTTCTGCTTCGGCTTCGCTCATATATCCACATTTAAATATAATTTTAATATTGTTTTGTTATGTTGTTGTATAGCAGGTTAGCCCGTTGCATACCAGACCAGAAAAAAAAGAAGACACACATACATTCTCTGCCCATCTCCACTTCATTCCAATTGCTTTGCTTTATCAAAAAATATAAATTCCCATTATTTTGTATAAATGATGCGCGTGTTATTTTCGAGAATGACTTTATGCTCTACATCCCTTGCTTGCGCTGCTGCGATGTTCAATCGGTCTCGCATTTCACATGTGCAATCTTCTGCTCCACTCTGGATGAGAAGAGAGAGAGAGAGAGAGAGAGAGAGAGAGAGAGAGAGATAGGAAAAAAGCCAACCTTCTCCCAAAAATAATGTCTACTTCAGTGCAGCGTGTGTGAATGTGTCGTGCTTATTTTAGGATGTAGGTCAGATCGGTTTGTGCTTTCATGTATGAATCTCAGTATATGCGTTAATACAATGAGCTCATGAATGTACAAAACAAAATCCAACCAATGTCGATCTGTCTTTCCCTCTCACACTCCGCTCCGTCTCTCTTCGATCTAAAACTCTGTCTCTTCACACAGCCGGCCCCACAGTAAAATGTATAAAATGGGAGATTTTCCAAAAAATGTACTTTTCAAATGCACTACAAACAACATAAATCGTTCGAGTATTTAAATATTGGCCAGATGAACGGTACAGATACACACATTCCATTCGGTTGGAATTTTGTTTTGAATTTGAGTGGCTTCGTTTTTTTTTCCTGTTCTGTATGTACGCGCCTCTCCCTCACTTTTATCGAAAAATGTGTTTTGCTCGGTAAAAAGTGTTAGCATTAAATGTAACGCTTTAAGTGTGCTTTTTTCTGTTCAAATTCAACGGTAATAGTAGTCGGTCGTTCCTCACTCACAGATTTAAGCGTTGATGACGGTATTAAACACACACTTTTTTCGATTCGTTTTTTTCTGATTTAAATTTTTTTTTTCTCTTTGTCACCCGATTGTAAAGCCATTTCGAATCCTCCACGCGCGCACGCCCTCGCATTTTTCAACAATTGCACCAAAGCATTCGGAATCTGCTCCATTTAAGCTTAACGCTCTTTTTTCTCACTCTCCGTCGTTGTTGTTGTCGTTTGTTGTTTCGTATTCGGTTCAAAAGTTTAGAACGAGTGGGAGAATTGTTGTCGTTTGGTTGTTGTTCTACATTTCAAATGAATTTTCGTTGAATATTTTAAAATCACTGTGTGACATTTGCCATGTTTATCACACACACACACACCATATTCTTTGCATCGGCAAAAGTTTCGGCTGCGATTGAAATTGAAACGCAAAAGGGAAACTTTACATTGGGCTACACATTTGCAGCTATAGCTGAACAGAGAAAGCTTAGTCTGCCTTTTTTTTCTACTTCCCTCATTTCTCTCTCCATCTCTGCTTCTCGCCGCCTCGCTCTTTTCTCGCTTCCCATTTGCTTCCTCTGCGGTGAAACGAAGCCCGCCGCGTTGAACCGGCGAGATAGTGCACACATCATTAGCGAGA